CCATAAAGATACACAGCCTTGAAAACTCTACGCATGTTCACTGAGTCAGAATTGACTCTATGGCACACCACTGCCACCATTGTCTAAAGATGTCTAAACTGTTGTTGTTAAGTGCCATTGACTTTGTTCTGACCTACAGCAACCCTGTGAAGAGTTTCTGAGGAGTGACTAGTGAGCTTGAACCACTGACCTTGTGGTTCAAACCCACTTTGCAGTCCAGCGCATTAACCCAGAGTGCCACTAGAACTTGGATGATTAAATCTTTATCATCTGTTTTAAGGAGGCCTGCTGGCTGGCACACGTTTAATTGCTTGGCTTCTAGCTGAAAGGTTGTTGATTTCTCCAGCAACTCTGTGGGAGAAAGATGTGGCAGTCTGCTTCCATAAAGATTGTTGTTGTTAAGTGCCATCGAGTTGGTTCCGACCCATAGTGACCCTGTATAGGGTTTTCAAGGAGCAGCTGGTGAGCTTGAAGTGCCGACCTTGCAGTTCAAATTGACTTTGCAGTCCAGTGCATTAACTCATGGTGCCACACCATAAAGATTACGGCTTTGAAAGCCTTATGGGGCAGTTCTACTGTGTCCTGTAGGGTCCTGATGAGTCAGAACCAACTGCACAGCACACAGAATAACAACATTATGTATTTTAATAACAGTAAACTGGATCCCTTCATGGCTCTGATTTAAAAAATTTTCCTTGGCCATTCTTTTTGCTGTTATTTCTTCATATATATTAGTCTTCTTCCCTGTCATCGAACAGAGTTTGCTTACTGTTTACAGGAGTTTTCCCAGTCGATTGCCTTAGATTTCCAGGTGCATAATAATACTCTCTGTAAAGAGTAGTGATTTTACTCCCTGCTTTGCAATTTTTAAACCTCTAATTTTGCTTTCTTTTCTATTACAAAGCAGATTTCTAGCAATAATAAATCCACATTGTTTTGAAAGTAAATCCAAACTATCATTTAGAGTTTTTTAAAATAAAAATCAGATATAGATTTAATGCCATTTTATTTTTTCCCCAAACCCAATTCTCTGTAAGAACTTAATCTCAACTGGGCTATGTCAACTATGGTGCTTTTAGACATATAATAACCATGGGGTGGTAAATAATTAACCATCTTAGCCCTGAGGGTGATACGGAGACACGCAAAGGTCTGTGGGTGGCTAACAGCTCCCCATGGAGTATTTCATTAGCTGTGTCTTTGAGCCACAGCCTGTGGCTGCTTTCCCACTTCTGCTTTTCTTCTCCCTACCAACAAAGCCATTCAAACTTGCAGGAAGTGATTTAGAGAGTTTTAAGTGTTTGCTGTTGTTGTTAGGAGCTTTGTTCCAACTCACAGTAACCTTATGCATAACAGAATGAAACACTGTGTGGGCCTGTGCCATCCTCACAATTGTCGGTATGCTTAAGCCCACTGTTGATGCTGCTACTGTGTCATTCCATCTTGTTGGGGGTCTCCCTCTACTTTACTAAGCATGAGGTCCTTCTCCAGGGAAGGGTCCCTCCTGATAACATATCCAAAGTATGACAGATGACGTCTCGCCACCCTGGTTTCTAATGAGCATTCTGACTGTACTTCTTGTTGTTGGCTACCATCCATCAGGTTGGCCTTTAGCTCATGGTGACTTCATGCACAGTAGAGCTAAACATTGCTTGGCTCTGCACCATCCCCATAAATTGCAGATTTGATCATTGACATCTATAGGGTTTCCTTCGGTTGATATTTGAAAGCAGATTGCCAGCCCTTTCTTAGCAGAGCATCTTAGTATGGAAACTCTGCTGAAACCTGTTCAGTGTCATAGAAACATACATGCCTCCACTGACAGAGGGTGGCGACTGAGCACGAGGTGTATTATCAGGGAATCAAACCCAAGTCTCTGTCGTGGAAGGTCAGAATTCTGCCATTGAACCACTAATGCCTCATTGACTGCATATTTGTTGTTATTGTTGTTAAGTGCTGTCGAGTTGGTTCCGACCCATAGTAACCCCTTCTAGGGTTTCTGAGGTGTGGCTGGTAAGTTTGAATTGCCGACCTTGCAAATTAAGCCAACCTTGTGGTCCAGTGCATTATCCTGC